CCCAAAAAAAAAAAAAAAAAAAAACAAGCTTGCATATCTCATACCTTGGCTTTGGATGTCTCAGTAGTCTTTCTCTTTTGAAGCTCCAAGCATCGCTCATTTATGTGACTTGCATTACCAAGTTTGAGCACCTCTGAAACATGTATATACAAGTTTCAGTAATGTAAGGAATACAAAAACACACACACAAAATAGACAAAAGCGAGGAGATATATATACCTTCATTAATACAAAATATCTTCCTAGAACCCAGGCAAATGACATTCAACTCACTTGCAAAGACAGTCTTCCTCAACTCCTTTATAAATTGTGAAAGCTGTGAGTGTGTTCGACTACAAAAGTAAACTTTCAACTTCTCTTCATTAGATTCCTCTTGATCCTCTTCGTCATCACTAGATGAACTGATTGAAACCCCGTTGTTCTTCCTCTTTGACTGCCCACCACTAAGAGCCACTTCATCATCACTTTCATAATCCTCCAGCAAAAACTCTTGATCCTCCATCTCCAGGCTATCACTCGGAGTCTGCATATGTTTTTGTTCCTTTGTAACAAAATGGTCTTCCTCCTCTTGTGAAAACAAGTTCTGATGATTATACTTGGAACCTTCTTTTTTATGTCTTCCTGATCCCACCCCAAATTCCTTTTTCTTAATCTTCTTTTCCTGATTTTGATGGTCTTGACTTACAGCGAATGTCCTCATCCAATCAGGCTCGTCATCTGAATTGAACTGGCTTTCATTTGTGCTGGTCTTGTCAGATCCATCTTGTATCGTACCATTCTGTTTCTTCCTTTGGTCAGCCACCCATTGCAAAGCGCCACATATGATGCTTAGAGTTTTTCCCGTACCTTTATCAACAAAATAACCAGTCAAGAAATGGAAAGAAAACATCTCTTTTCTTACTTAAAAAAAAAGTTGAAACTAAACGAGACAAGATGAAATAATTTCCAAATGCAACTAATTTTATCTCAGTTCTTCATCTCGAGAAAATTCGCATTTCCTCCATCCACTCAAATTTATGATCTAACAACAGTATGAATTTATACAACAATAATGTAAGAGCCACACACCAAATCATAGACTTCAAGTTCAAGCACAATTCCTAAAATTCTCAAGTAGGATTATCGTTCGTGGACATTTACAATCATAACGATTCAAATGTCATGAAGCCACAACTTAGCATCACAAACCACTACTAGTATATTATAGTAATGAAAATAAAACTTGTAATGTATGAAACACGAGCGAAAAAGGCTGTTCGAGATTTAATCCGTTCCCCATCCCACAAATACTTTGCAGACCAAAAGCTATCAATCAAACACATAAAAAGAATGAATAACACAGACCAGTGGGGCTTTCAAGCATGGAGATTCCGCCTTTGTTAAGAAACTTATACAGCGCCTTCATGAAATCGAACTGGATCGAGTAAGGCTTGTATGGAAATGCCGGAAATTCGGGTTCCGTTTCGTCTATTCTCTCCATCTTCTTCGATTCACGGCCACAGTCCAACGCACTCGAACCCTTTTCGCGCCTTTTCTCTATTGGGTTCATTCAATTGCCGTGGAGCGCGAAGCCGGCCGAATTTATATATATATTTTACCAAATAACATTTCACTTTTATTAATTGGGCTGGACACTTTCAAAATTACAATATTGGGCCGATCCAATAACTTGTTCAAGCTGGACGAGTCATAGTTTGGGCCAGATAAATAAAAAGTGGGCCGCATCATCATGGAGCTCAAGCTCAAACCCTAAACGCTATTATGCGGTCATATAAAATGGCAGTCTTTGTCGCTGCAATTCCGAGGGCCGAGGTGCTGATAGAATTTCTCCTCCCTTGGGTTTCTTCGTTCTGCATCAATGGTACTTCTCTTTCCTTTTCTCATCTATCTCGATTTGTGTTACCGTGTAGTTGGCTTCATCTTCATCGCTCTGTTGTTGGTCGCTTGATCTACAGGGGAAGGGTACGGGAAGTTTTGGTAAGCGGAGGAACAAGACCCATACTCTCTGTGTGCGGTGCGGCCGCCGCAGCTTCCATCTTCAGAAGAGTCGTTGTTCAGCTTGTGCTTTCCCTGCTGCTCGCAAGCGCAAGTGTAAGTGATCTCGATCTTTCTCACTTTTCGTCACTGTGCTCTTTATTCACATTGATCTATATCGGATGTTTGGCTTGTGTTTATTATGATTCCATGTGTCGCTGCTTTGAAATTGTTTGGTGACTCTTCCTATCTGTTGTAGTTATTAATTATTATTAATAAGGAGCCTAAAGTTTGTGAATGTGAATGAGATTCGTTCGTTTGGTGGTGAAGTGATGTGAGATGTTCGCATTGGTTTTAGTGTTCCATGGAGTTTGGATTGATTTTGATTGTTTTCCTTGGCTTTTGGATTTGTTTAGATAACTGGAGTGTGAAGGCTATTAGGAGAAAGACTACTGGAACTGGAAGGATGAGGTACATGCGCCATGTTCCGCGTAGATTCAAGAGCGGCTTCAGAGAGGGTATGATATTGTCTTCATTGTTTGTTCATCTCTTCGCACCATTTACTTCATATAGATTTAGTTTCATCACAAGAGTTAATTCTACTCCTACCTAAATTGATTTGGATTTCTCATTAGGTACTGAAGCTGCACCCAGAAATAAAGGATCTGCAGCATCAGCGTAAGGTATTGGAAGAAGTTCGACTTAATTTCAGCACCCAATTATAGTTTTCATTAGGGTTTTTACGCATCTGAGGATTATTTCACATAATTTTGTTTCCTAGTTTTGCCATTTTCATGATTTAGTTGAACGCAGTTTCTTTGAAACGTATTGTTTTGAATTATGGACAAATGACGAATCAAATTGTTCGTACTCTGCTACGTATTATGCTTTTTACAGCACCTTACATTTCCCCCTTCCTTCCAAGGGTCCATGTGTAGGAAGAAGCCATGTCAAAACACTAGATTCAACTTGTTAATTTTGAAGTTGGTTTTTATCTCACCCAAGACTGGTTTGTCTCAACGCTTTCGGGCTCCCCATCTAATCGAACAATATGGTCTTTTAGTATCAAATTTGACAGAACTCCCTGCTTGTAATGAGAAAATTGCTTGCAGTTTTCTTGCTATAAATCCCAGACAAGGCTCTCAACCGATTCATTCTTTATTTCTTTCTCTTGCCTTTCTTATTTGGGTTTCTCTTCTTTTTAATGTGGTTCACTTGCCTTAATTGGGAACACGAATTTGTCTGCTCATTGCTGTGATCGACAGATTTCCGATCGAACTTTCTTTTGATGTATTGAGGATTCGTAGAGTATCTAGACTCCCTTAGGCTTGTTTTAAGGTAGTTTTAAAAATAAGAACAATGAGTATAACATTTTAAGTAGCTTGAAATTGTTTTTAAGTATCACCGAATAAGACATTTCAAGTGAAGGGCTAGCCTGTAGCATGGGGCAGCAGAGGCTCTGAACTGCATATACAAGAATGTATTTGTCGTAAATCAAAATCGAGATTGAGATGGTGCTGTTGCACGGATTAATACTTGTCGAAACTTGCATTACAAAACAATCTAAGTTGTGTATGTCAAGTTATAGCTGGCCAAACTTCTTTTTTTCAATCTGCTGTTTGATGATAGAATCAAGCTCTGGAAACAAGGTTATTAAGTCGTACATGGGTGTTGTGTGACGATCGGCTTTCGGCTTTCTCTTGCTGCAGTTCCTCGAGGGATCGTGTGGCAATTATCCGAAGTTGAACCGTTCTCGCAATGTTTTTCTTTTTCGGCCATCTGAACTAAATCTCTATCTTCTAAATGTGTTTCTCCAAATGATATTTGAATGTGATTAAAACCCATCAAAGATTTGGAGTTTACCACGCCTAACATTATTATTTTTCAATTGATTGATATATTATATTTTATCTCCATTTTAACAAAAAAAAAAAAAAAAAAAAAAAAAAAAAACCCC